CTAGGCTTCCAAGGTCGTTCATCAGTTGTCGTGTAAGTTCCTGGTGATAACTTTTGGCAGCGGAACTGGACAGCGCTGACAGCTGTGTGCCCGCTATAGAACGGTGGTTTTTTGTGACGTGCTAGGTGTACGCGCCTGCTGTCATATTTACGCCACATTATTGATGAAAATAGCAGATTTTAATGCTGCGATGTTTTGTTATGTCATTGATTTTTATGGAGAATTGAAGAACGAGTTCCTGGTTTGGTTGAAGTAAAAGTAATTGTGGTAAAGTGATTGCTATCGAGATGGAAACAGGTCCAAAATCTTCAAAGAATTCTGCGAACGGAGCAACTGGATGGTTATTCAGCAATAAGCGGAACTGAAACAGGCGTAGTTCGGCATTGAGGGCACTAAGGGGGGGGGGGTTACAGATCTTGGTGACCTGTGCAGTACCGAGGCACAGGTTACCAAGAGCTGTAAATTCTTGTAACTAAAATAGCTTATTTGTACCAGGTTACCATTTCACAGAGGTTCACAGGTATCACCAGAATGAGGCCTGTTATTTGACGTGAACTAACGAAAGGAACGAGAAACCTGCAAAATCCCCCTCGCAAGCCGAACAGCGCCTCGTTTCCCTCTGATCTGACTCTATTTGCCAAATCAGTTTCAATGGAGTGAGCAATATTTGATGTGTACAAGCTCAAGATGACCGAATTTTGTTCCAGGGCCATCGAAATGCTCGGTGGAGAGCTCGGCTCGAAGAAACCAGTGCATCCCAACGACCACGTTAACATGAGCCAGTCTAGTAATGACACCTTCCCGACAGCAATGCATATCGCTGTTGCCAGAGAGGTGAGTACAATAATGCGAGTCTGGGAGGTTTCCCAAACACTCTTATCGCTCCTGTTTGAAGATCAACAGCCGTCTTCTGCCTGCTTTGAAACAACTCCGTACATCTCTTAACAACAAGGCTGAGGAATTCAAAGACATCATCAAGATCGGCCGCACACACACTCAAGATGCCGTCCCTCTGACTCTTGGCCAAGAATTCTCGGCCTATGTGCAACAGGTTAGCCGTTATATGGTCCCTATCAGGAGTTGCAGCGTAAGGACCCAGGTATTTGCAGGTAGAAAATGGTATCGCTCGTGTGGAAGGCGTTCTTCCACGTCTTTATGAATTGGCAGCTGGTGGAACTGCAGTAGGAACTGGTTTGAATACTCGCAAAGGCTTTGCAGAAAAAGTTGCAAAGTAGGTCTAAGGTTTTATTGGGTTAATGGATTGATAAGTATATCTGCAAATTGACTTTTGTAATTAGGACGGTCTCCGATCTCACCGGATTGCCGTTCAAGACTGCACCAAACAAATTTGAAGCTGTTGCTTGCCTCAGCGAGGCGCTTGGTGAGAGTTCCTATGGTGCGCTGAATGTGCTGGCTGCATCATTCATGAAGATCGGTAATGATATCCGCTTCCTTGGCTCTGGACCAAGGTACGCCTACCGTTTACACCGTAACTTTAACCTGGCTGGAGATATTACCTGTGCTCAGATGTGGCCTCGGAGAGCTGTCACTTCCTGAGAACGAGCCAGGAAGCTCGATTATGCCAGGAAAGGTCAACCCTACCCAGTGCGAGGCCATTACTATGGTTGCTGCTCAGGTTATGGGAAATCAGGTAAGGAACTGTCGAGAAGTGTAGGGTATTCGGTAAGCAGAATGATTTCCCTTTGATCAGGTCGCTGTGACTGTGGGAGGATCTAATGGTCACTTTGAGCTCAACCCGCTTTCAGCCACTGCATGGTCAAGATTTCTTCGAGTCGGACAGGTATAAAGGCATTGCATTTTTTAGGGTATAGTGACATAGGATAAGCGTGGCATCGTCAGGCCGCCTGGGCGTGGGCGGCGAAAATCGCGCTCAAGGACGAGTTGTGCTGTCTTGTATTGTGTGTCAAGAGAGAGATTGTATTATCCCTCATGATTTCATGCATTATCTTGAAATCACTGAACTGAGTTCCGCTGTCACGAACGGGTTTGCGCGCATTGCGCGGGGTCGCGGTGCGCGACGCCGGACAGGTAGGATTGTCTTGTCGTCTCCGCTTCTTCAACAAAGACTTATTATTCATTGCTTTTCTACCTTTAGGCGGCTAGCAGGACAGCAGCTGTGTTCGTTCTCGGGACTGTGACACAAAGGAGCCAATGTTGATGGCTCAGGCAATAGGAAATATCGGCAAGGTGAATATTTTTGTGTTTCTTCGCGTATTTGTAGAATCCGTCGTTTCAGTCGGCTAGCTTTCCTTTGATAGGTAAACCATTCAAGAGATTTCAATGTTTTTCAGATTATGCGCGAATCGCTTATGCTTGTTCTGCCTCAATTCCACACACTTTGGGTTACGATATGCTCGCGAAGATCGCCCGCAAGTTATGTGTTCTAAGCATTTTAAACTCACATTTAAGCAGAATTAGCGGTTATTTACTCGGCTTTCGGCTTGGAGGGCATTTTGCACCTTCCTAGTTGCCTTCTTTCTTCAATTGACATATATTAGGTGGTGAACTTGTACTCCTGTCTTGTCTGCCGGAATGGTGCGAGTTGTGAACCACTGGTTCAAAGGGTTCACGAGTTTTCTCAGAATGGCCTGTACAGACCTTAGATGAGTACCTATTGCTGCCCCCTCAAGCCGATTGCCAGCCTAATTATCATCACCAACGTTTTGTTCTTAGATGCTCACCAGAATGGCACACTCGCAGAGGACGCTGCGGAAGGGGAAGGATATCAATTGGTATTTTGCGGAAAGACAGTCTTCGGACACGGGTAACGCCGAGAATATGCTTGGGCCTAAGTAAACAACGGCTTCAAGAATTCTGATTTTTGTTGTCCATGTTTAAGAAAGTGTTGTGAATACGTAGTGTTTTGAGTACTAGGATAGTAGTTAGTTTTTGTTTTCCAATGTTTTCACTAATAGATTTAGTAGTTCCTCATACGGTATGCTTCGATTTGTTCAGTATGTAGCTGATCCACAGTATTGTGTTTCTGCAACGAAAACCTCCAAGAAGCTTCGAGTAAATTATTTTTTATTAACCCTCAACTTTGAACACAGCAAGTGCAGAAGTGTTAGCATGCAGTGTTTGCGCTATCTGATGCGATAGCAGGGGAGGTGCGAAAATCAGTGTAAGCTGCGATAAGCGGCCAGCGTTTTGTTTACATTTCTCAGATGAGGACGTGAAAAATGGAAAATTCGATGGGAGAAAGTGTTCCTGAAAGCGAGTAGTTCCAGAGAGTCGTAGATATCAAAAAATTGCTTACCATTAATCTGACGTGATTCGGGCCCCAATGCAACACATAAGAAATTGCAAAAGCGAGGCAGATGACGAGATGGCGAATGAGAACACATACGAGCGAGACCGCATCGTCATACAGCATGTATGAGGTGCAAATCCAGTGGGCGGAGTTTGACCTCGGTGGCACGCCTCTAGCATTCTTGCCGCTTTCTTCCGAGCAACTAGAATGGCCCATCGTATACGATGTTTTCTTGGGAAAGGAAAATTCCCATGGAAAAGGTAGTAGGGGAATGTACGTCTTGGGCATTTCTTCGCGCGGAGGTAACCGTTTTGCAGTTTTTCTTTCAAATGTGTTTTGGAGGGGCCATACGTTTTGCGAAAACAGGACAGAGGAGAGTGAAAGTCTCGCAGAAGTGACTGTTTTCAATCTTCTTTATTTGTTCATTGGATTTTGTTGTTATTTGTTTTTTTATAGAATCACTGAACCATCGAGCGTTAGTCAACGTGTTTGGAGAAACAGTTGCATGGGTAATCATCACGGAATTGAACTACAAGTTTCCAAAAATGTGACGGCAAGGGTTTTTGCGAAACTTCCAAAGCAGTTTGAAATCTTTTCAGTAGCAGCTTTTTAAGTTATGAAGAGAATCGAAGAGCCTGGGTTGATCTCGAATTTCTTTCTGGAAAAGGTGAATATCGGAATCACGGCGGAAATCGTGCCAACGAAAAATTGGATCACATCTCACTACTGCTATGACGGTTGGGAGCTATAATTATAGGCTTAAGGACTTGCATTTTTGAATAGCCACAGAGACATGTGCGTTTATAAAGTAGAAGTAAAGTAGAACACCGCTACATCTTATTGTGCAGTCTGCGCCAACAGGAGGGGATGCTACGCATGCCTTGATGACTCTATCGTCTCACTGAATTCTTGAGAAGGCTATGTCTTAAAAGAGCTCGTTTATGAGTAATGGCAAGATCAAAAGACCGTTACAGGATCGTCGATCTGTCCTATACTGTAACAACATTACTGTTTTGTCATCTGCTCAACTGATAATGAAAATAAAGTGAACACGTGCTTCAGAAGTGAACACGTGCTTCAACCCACATATAGTGTAGTTCGCTGCGGACGGTTGGGCGTGTCCGTGCGGCTGCGCTTGGCGCGGTGCCAAACTCGTTCTACACCAGTTGTTGAAGCGGGCAAGTGACAATACTGTATCATATCCTTCGTATTACTAGTCTTCTACCACTTTTTGTCGCAGACGCTCTTCAACAAGAAGGCAGAGAACGGCTTTGATAGGGTGACACACTCATACTGGCTGACACGCCCAACCGTCCGCAGAGAACTATAGTGTACACCCCACTGCAGGGAAACCTTATCTGTGATCCCTAAAAATGTGCCAGTTTTTGTTGCTCAAATTAAGCGGCAAGGACGTCAGAGGTGTGCCACGGAGGTCAGGCTCCGCCCACGGAGTTAGCCCGCCCTCTCCACACCATATCACAGCTGCCGTACAACGTTGCGGACTCGCTCGCCTGTACATATGCTCGTTCACAATTTTGTCGTCTTCCTTTGTATTGTACTCCACGGGGGTTGAACACGTCTGTACGTATAAAATCTGATTCAAGAAGATCGGATGTTGACAAGATGAAAAAGAAACGAAAAAGAACTCCAAGTGCATTGAAGACGTGAACGAGGCGTTTTTCCTAGTCATTCTTCTGTTTCTTCGCACGTCAACCGCTAGTTTTTTGTTTTTTTATTACTCTTTATGACTCTAGAGATAGCTAGCTTGCCTTTCCCTCAAAGTGCACATTTAGCTTCAGCATCGCTTATGGGGAACCATGTAGTACCAGCAACACAGCAATCAGAACAGTCCTATGGTTAGCCGATTTCTCACATCCCCGGCAGATCTTGTAGGCTATCTGTTGACCTGTTTCAAGGAACCTGTTGAGGTTCACTGAAATAGCCTTATCGGGCAACTGGGTCAGAAAGTGAATTCCATGGAGCTCCGTGGGGAGACAGCATTTTTCGATGTTTCTTTTGGTTGAATGAAGGTGGATTTGGCAGGTGTAGTCCGGGCAACATGATCTTGGTGGTTGAATTCGCTCTCGTAAACCTCAGAGAGCCCTCGGTCAGCGTCATCGCTATTGAGGAACACCTCACTTTCTGAAACTCACAAGCTCAA